ATGTTTCTCCTCCGTTCCGTTAATTATTCGGTCCCTGATTAATGAGGATTAATCGAGTATTTATAGCCTTGGGAAGCGTGCAACTCTCTAGGTTTAAGGTAAACCTAGGGCCGATCGGGCTTCTAGACTGAAATGGGCCTTGATGGCCGGTTGTCCCATTTGGCATGGGTGGACACGTGGCGTGTCTTAAGTGGTCCGTGGAGGACGCGTGGCGGAACCTGGTTGGTCCACTTGTCAAACGGCGCTTGGTGGATAAAAATCCCCTAATCAAGATGGGTCTTTAGAAACAAGTTAGATGACCTTGGTACTATAGTCAGAAACAAAGCAAGGCTAGTGGTGCAAGGGTACAATCAACAAGAAGGAATTGACTATGATGAGACGTTTGCACCAGTAGCTAGGCTAGAGGCTATTAGGATTTTAATTGCTTATGCTGCTCACATGAATTTTAAGCTGTTTCAGATGGATGTAAAGACTGCCTTCCTCAATGGATATTTAAAGGAAGAAGTATATGTGGAGCAGCCACCTGGTTTTGAAGATGCACTGTTCCCCCAACATGTGTACAAGTTGGACAAAGCATTATATGGGTTGAAACAAGCTCCGAGGGCTTGGTATGAAAGATTGTCCAATTTCTTGATGGCAAATGATTACAAGAGGGGAACAGTAGACAAGACCTTGTTCATAAGAACCAGGGGGAAACACTTGATTGTAGTACAAATTTATGTTGATGATATTTTATTTGGTGCTACTAATCAGGTTTTATGTGATGAATTTGCTAATCTTATGCAGAGTGAATTTGAAATGAGCATGATGGGAGAACTAGGATTCTTCCTAGGGCTGCAGATTAAGCAAATGGATGATGGAATAATGATCCATCAACAAAAGTACTTAAAAGAGTTGCTGAAAAAATTCGGCATGGAGAACAGCAAAGCTTATGATACACCTGTTCCCCCATCTACAAAATTAGATGCTGATCTTAAGGGAAAAGATGTTGAAGCTTCTCTTTATAGAGGAATGATAGGTTCTCTACTTTACCTAACAGCTAGTAGACCTGACATTGTGTTTTCTGTTGGTTTGTGTGCTAGGTTTCAAAGCAATCCAAAGGAATCTCACTTGAAGGCTGTTAGAAGGATACTTAGGTATCTTGTAGGAACAGCAAATCTGGGACTGTGGTACCCCAAAGGCAGTACCATTGATCTTATTGGATACACAGATGCAGATTATGCTGGTTTCTTAGTTGATAGAAAGAGCACATCAGGTATGGCACACTTTCTTGGCTCTTGTCTAATTTCATGGGGTTCTAAAAAGCAAAATTCAGTGGCCCTATCCACAGCAGAGTCTGAATATATAGCTGCAGCTTCATGCTGTTCCCAGCTACTGTGGATAAGGAACCAGCTGAAAGATTTTGGTGTTATTTATAAAAGTGTTCCTATTTTCTGTGATAACACTAGTGCAATCAATATTTCAAAGAATCCTGTGCAACACTCCAAGACAAAACACATTGAAATAAGACACCATTTTTTAAGAGACAATGTGGAAAAAGGATTGGTGGAGATGTTGTTTTGTAAAAGTGAAGATCAAATTGCTGATATCTTCACAAAGCCTTTGTGTAGAGAGTCTTTTTGTAGGTTAAGAGTCCTTTTAGGTCTAGTTAGATTTTAGGTATTGGCTTCAATTACTTCCTTCAATGATTGGTTAGAATGGTATTCTCTTGTATAGTGTGTGTACATACTTATGTTGATATCTTTCAAGTGTTGTGTAGATGGTTCAAAATCTCAAAAGGATTGAGAATCATTGTTGTAAGAAACAGGTGAAATCAGGCTGAATTGCCAGAAACAGCGTGACATGGTTCTATACAGGTACCAGCAAAGGGAAACAGCAGACCAGCTCTGATATGTCATCCGATAATATCTTTTATTTTCGGAAGATTACTATAAGATATTTCCTTTTGGAAGGAATTTATCTTATTTCAGTTATTTAATCCCATATAAAAGGCAAACATATCATATGCCTTATTTATAGTTGGTTGAGATAATTATGGTAAAAGATAATTACCAAATTTTTGATTTCAATTTTAAAAATATCCTTTACAGTTGCTTTTTATTGGCTCAACTAACTCTTTTCTTTCCTTCTTCTCTCTTTGTGTTTCATTGTTAAAAATATACACTAACCCTTTGTGCAGATCATCAATCATCATCACTCGAAATTCTCTTTCTCTCTCTCGTATGCTTTAAATTCATCATTGTTCATTCGGTTACTGTTCACTCAAGGAACCAGCTCAGTCTCAGGGGGAACATCAGAAGGAAGCATAAATGTCCTTAAGCCCGAAGTTGGAGGAAATTCAGAAAAGTCAGAGTGAAAAGGATGAAATAGAGGTTGTTGGTTATTATGAGGAGACACCCACTGCTAAGACCATGGTACGAAGTAGAGCAACTCAATTAAAGAAGTTCACTGAGAAGGTGCAGGAGGAACAGTCCATTGACGCTGTTCCAGGAACCAAGAGAAAAAGGGTACCAGCAAGAACTTCTTTGCTTGATTGATGTGATGCTAGTTTTGCACTCGTTATGCAACAAGGAGAACAGTTTTGCACTCGTTATGCAACAAGGAGAACATTCTGTATCAGTACATATCTCTCATGCTTTCTTTAAACAAAAAAAAAAAAAAAAAAAAAAAAAAAAAAAAAAATAGAGGAACCAGCAGGTCAGGAAGTGGTTTTGAAACAGATTGGGGAATCACAAGAATATGCTTAGTAATATAATGATTTTGGTTTAAGCAGAGCATGGTGACAAAGATGAAGAGGAATCAGATGATAATACAGAAGATGTTGCAAAGTTTGAGGAGGAGGAAGGGAACGAGAATGATGATGAGGAGTGATGCTGTTTCTGTTCTTGTTTCCTCACCCTCATGTTTATTCTAAAATAACTGATTTTGTTGGTCTGTCTACTTCTCTCCATTCCATGAACTTTCTTTTTGGATGGATTTGGGCTTCTTTGGTTGAACTTTGTTGGCTTGTATGAACTACTAACTCTGCTATGGTATGAACTGTTTGACTAATCTCTTTTTGCAGCATAATGCTTGAATGGTGGTTGATGCCATTGTATGGATAAGCACATTAACTTGTGCACATTGCTTTTACTTGTGGATACTTTTTAATGATGCCAAAAGGGGGAAGTAGTCTGAAGTTGAAGCCTAAGGTTTAGCTAGTTTAGATTGAGTCAGTTTGAGTCTTTTTATTTCGTATTTTCTATTTTCTGTTTAGGGAACCAGTTGGCCTAACTGACTTGTTCCAAAGAGTTTTGAGTCCTTGAAGTTTTTGACGGTTTTCTTTTTGAGCATGTCCACAGGTTCAGGAACTTCAAGAGTTTGTCATCATCAAAAAGGGGGAATTTGTTGAGTCCCTTAGGTTTTGATTGATAGTTTTGAATGATGACAAACAGCTAAGGGAAACAGGTCCTTGAAAGTGTTCGATACAGTTGGGGGAACCAGCTAACATAGAACACTGTTTCCCCAGACAAGTTATTACTTACATGAGTTTTCTTATTGAACTAACTTGTCTTTATACAGGGAACAGTTATATGATAAAAGTGTTATGTACTGGTAGGGAACCAGTATGTACTGTTTCCATGGTTGCTACGTGGTAAAGCAGTCACATACTCTTTATTGTGCATTAACCATGTTACATGTACAGTAGTTGAGTTGATTCCAAGACTTGGAGCATAGAAGCCTTTCGAAGATATTTCGAAGAAAGATTGTTTGCTCATAATAGAAGTATTCAAGGAAGATTCAAGTCTTGAAGATTACATGAAGAAAAGACGATTTATGCTTTAATATGTTATCTAGGTTTTCATGTAATATGCTCCGTAGTATGCTTGCATGTTTGGGTTATATAAGTGCTTAAAAGTATATTGAAGTATGATATGAAATCTGGTACAAAGTTGGAACAGGTTTCATAACATGTTTCAATTCAGGGAACCAGGTCGGGGAACCAGGTTCACTGTACGAGATATTCGAGCTGCCGTTTTGGAAAAAGATTTTACAAAAAGATTTTTTCGAAAAGATTATCTTGAAAATATTTTGTGCAGCTGGAAATAAGATGAAATATTCTTGGTTACCTAAAAACTAGGAGTATTTATCTTAATTGATTCTATCTTTGTGATTAAATCAAATAAGATAAATACTTTCCTAAAATTACAATATATCTTATTCTCTAAGATTGTGTGATTTAAGGAAACTAGGTTTTAGGAATCTAAGCTTATATAAACTCATCTTATTTCACATATTTCGTGTGCCTCTCTAGAAATTAAAGGAGCAATTATTTGAGAGCATATACTTAAGCACTAATCCCATTCATCAAGTCATATACAAGAGCATTCTAGTACTTAAATATTTTCTCTTAATTAGCTTCGTAGAAGTGAGATCAAAGGAGAGTTCTTGATTCTTGTATTGAGTCTTTAACAAAGGGGTTAAAGGCTGGGTGAGTGTTTGTGAGTTCAAACACATTGGGCTTACGAGTGTAAGTCGAGAGCACACTCGGAGTAGAGTGTGGGGTTTGCTGGTTCCCGGAGTAGGGAACAGCAGAGTGTTCTTTGTCTTTGTTTTTCGGAGTAGATTAATAAAGAACTTAGGATAGGAGGACGTAGGCCTGAGTTGGCTGAACCTCGTTAAATTTGTTGTGTTCTTTATTGCTTTGTTTTATTTCGTTAAATTTGTTGTCTTCTTTATTGCTTATTTATATTCCGCTGCGTACGGGAACCAGCACAACTGGTTCCTCACACATAATCCGAAAAGAAGCAAAATTAGCCAACGATTACTTAACACTCAATTCACCCCCCCCCCTCTTGAGTGCCCATTGAACCTTCACTTTTGTTTTTTTCATTATTATTTTCGTGATCAGGGGATTTTGTTTATTACAACAACAATTTAAACAAAAAACTTAAAAGTAAAATGTACTCTGAATTACTTTAAAATAAATAGGTCATGTACAAGTTTACAAAGAAATACTTGAATATTTAAATACTTGTAGATGTTCATTGAAACTAAATGTATCGACAATAATAATATAGTAACTAGATAAACTAAGTAGTAATTAATAGTCTAAACTTGATTAGCGATGCCTTGAACAATTTGCTTGAATATTCCCTTGGCCATCACTCTGTAGGCGTGTTGAGTCATATGAACTCCATCCCAACTAACCAGCTTAGATGGATCACGACAAACTGGAACTCCATTATTTCCACACATTTGAGTGATGTTAAAATTGTATTCGTTGTCACCTATTCCACAACAGGTCTTCTGTACTTCATCCTTCTCAAACCCTGCGTATCGATAATTATATGTATTACGTTTAATAAATTAAACAAAAGGCTAAATAATTGATTACAAGATCAGTATTAGATTATTACTAACCATTTGAAGCAGCATTTTGAAGGAGTCCCTTCAATGCGTTGAAATAATCAGCATAGACAATTGCAACATTCGGGTATTGTATTTTAAGCTCCTTAATAGCTACTTTTAATCGATCGTTTTGAAACATTGCAAATTCATTCAAACCCTTTAAACAATGGAGCTCGTCGTAGTTATTTGAGTCTTTCGTCTTGAAATTGCTTAGATAAATAGGCATGCATCCGATTGCAAAGTTGCCAGGAACTACGACTTTGGTGCCACCAAAACTAATCACTTCCTGCAATATAGTACTTAATTAGTAATCGCCAAATACGAAGTATATTATATAATGAACAATTTATAACTATATTGTTTCCAAAAAAAAAAAAAACAATTTATAACTATAAATAATAGGTTAGTAAAATACCAACCTTCACGGCATTAGTAATGGCTTGAAGTACTTCATCCACCATTTGTTGCACTTCCTCCATTGTTTTTTGTCCAAAGAATGCATAGTTGAAATCGTTGCCTCCGGTTTCAATGATAAACAATGCATTTGCGAGTTTGGCCTTACAATCTACATTATATGAATAAAAAGAATTAGTAACTATTATTTTGATGGACGTTAATATCTTTAACTATTTAATATCAATCGAAAATAATTTAATTTAAATTACATTAAAAGACATCGATCTAACAATATTTAAGCTTATTTAATTTATTTTCTATATTACTACAATTTATGTACTGTGATCAAAGTGACACATGCATACTAAATAACGCAAAATCAATTTGGTATGTACGACTTTTTAATATACGTAGAATTTAATTTAGGATGGAATGAGAAGTTTAGTTACCTTTTGGATTAGGGCAAAGTGAATGAAGGTGAGACTTAAACCAACCCATTTGAACTGATAATGAACTGCTGGTAACCGGCGATGTAATGTTTTTAGCAGCTAAGGTTGAAGTGTCGAGAGCCGTCGATCCCGCAACAGCAAAGTTCACACCATGAGCGAAGTTACCGTCTTTGTTAAGATATGCATCAAGAAAGGGCAACTTGAAGTACCTTGCTGCAATTTATACAAGAAAGAAAATTATTAGTGATCAAGAAAGGGCAACTTAAAGTACCTTGCTGCAATTTATACAAGAAAGAAAATTATTATTAATGATACATATTTGACTATTTGTCCACAAATTCTTTCTTCTAAACTTACTAATCCGTATTTTTATAACAAATTATTTATCCAACAAATTCTTCAATATTTATGGTCTATCGGTATAAAATTTATATCACTATAATTTAATTAATCCATTAAAGATTTGCTTAATTACGTGACTATTTAATTATTTTAAATGGTCTATACTTAATTACTTAATTGTTCTTATGTAGAATGTAGATAGTGTCTTTAATCATATATACTATGTTATAAAAATATAGCATAAATCTAATTCAACAATATTTCTCTGTATTTATAGATCGATACTTTAATTTAAACCTAGCTACGTACGGTCAAAGAAAGAATATACATGCACAAATCAAACCAAGTTATATTGAATCCGAAAAGTATTATAAACATAAAGATGATTAGTTTAGTAATTAATTCAATTAACAAGGAGACGTACCAATAAAATCAATCATGAGAAGACCATTGGAGCAACGACCAGTAGGCGTATGGAAGAAAGTTTGTCCATAAGGAAGTCTTGCAAAGGTTGTATGTTCTCCAATGGGGGATTCACGTATTAAGTTACCGGTGTCCGATATCGAATCACCAAATTGATAGATTGCATCGACTTTCGGTATTTCTTGAGAGAGTGCATTGAGACGTAGAGGAAAGGAAGAGCAAAGAGCGAGAACAACAAAGAACACAAGTTTCATGCTAGCCATAATTTTCTTTCTACTTCGTACTTTTTTTTTTTTTTGGGGGGGGGGGGGGGGGGTTGTGTTGTGAATGACATAGAGAGGGGGAAAGTATGAATTTATAGGATTTAAGGGTAGAACCGTAGAATAATAGGTATCCTAGTCCGTTAATGTTTAGGTTTTACTAACTTGCAACCTAAGAAAAGTCGAAAAGCTATTGCTATTGTATATAGGATTAATGTTTCCTAATTTTGCATATTATACTAATTTTTTAGATTATACAATATCTACTTATTTTCATAAAATATATCTTAAAATCCGGCAATAAATTTTCTGTATGTTCGAATAATTTCTAATCATGTAGTACTTTTAATTAAAAAGTTGTGGACAAAGCACTTAGTAATAGTTTTGTGCAATCTGAATACAAATTATATTTTATAAGATACATATAATCCTTCGTTATTTAAGATATCATTGATTATGTAAGACCGATATATATTATAGGAATAAACTCCACGTACTTTACGTAGTTTCTTTGATAAGAGTTATAAGACGGTATCTATGCTATTTTCATCTGTTACTTTTGAATTAATGGTCACTTAATAACCATATTTGTAAAGCACGAAATAAAAAATATATTACAGAGTACACGTACTTTGTAGTTTTTAGTAGTTCTGGGATACTACAAAGTACCCAGTACAATAAAACAACAGATATCTCCTCCAAAAAAATACGAAGTATAGGATTCATGTTTCCTAAATTTTCGTATAGTACTAATTTTTTAGATATAAAATATCTACTTATTTTCGTAAAATATGTCTTGAAATCCGGCAATAGAATTTCTACAGGTTCGAAATTCTAATCATGTATTGGTACCATAGCTACTTTTAATTAAAAAGTTTTGGATTAATCAATTCATGGATTTATTAATAACTAAAGTATATTATTAATACAAATTTTACGTACGCATAATCCATTTAGGATATCATTGATTTATGTACGGAGTAGTTTCTTTGATGAGACGGGTTCTATGCTATTTCAATCAACTATTCTTGAATTAGTATTCACTTAATAATTATAATTATAAAATAAAAAAAATATATATTACTCCATAGTTTTTAGTAGTTCTTACTACAAAATAACAAGTACAATATAACAATGGATATCTCCTCAAAATATATACGAAGTATATAGCAATGGATATATTTGTAATCACTTTTCAAACCAAATTTTATGATGCAAAAATAACAGAATTATAAGACTTTTATTAAAGATTATAAATTTTTCATACATATTGTTGACCCTCTTATTTATTTTGATGATTGACATAACAAAACAAACTTCGACTAATGTTGTGTGTTAAGTCTTGGTAGAACAAAAAGATTCAGGTACAAACAACATGTTCCGGAGTAGGAGCAAAGGGATTGGAAGTCTTGATGAATAAGCAAGCTTTCAAGAAAAAGAGCAAATTCCAGTCTTAGGATTATCTGTAAGCACTAGAGTCTTATGTAGAAAGGAACTCAGCAAGGACCGTAGTGTTCCTAAAGGAACTTAATGTTTTAATAAAGTCAGTAAATATTTTAACGTAAATATACAAAATCAGTTTTAATCCTTAATAAAGGATAAAGTAAAATTAGTTTTTGAAAAGATATATTTTGCAAATAAATAAAAGATAAATAATTCTTTAATTTAAAAAATAAGTTTATTATTTTTAAATTAAATAATTATTTAAAAGTTTTATCTTTTTTAAAAAATATCTTTTTAATAATAGTTATATTTTTAAAAATTATCTTTCTAACTGATTTTTGACCAAGTAAAATTGGTTGCCTGATTTTAAGGATTCACGTTGAAAGCCTTGAGAGAAAAATCAAAGAAACCTTACTTCCCACTCTCTGATCAACGTTCAACAACTTCCCAGTTGAAGTGAACGTGGAACATGGGAAGAGTGGGGAACAAGGTTGAGACTTTCCATCTCACTATAAAAGGCTTGCAACGTACTCTGATTTTGGTGAGGAGCAACAACGTAAAAACATTCAGTTCATAGAGTTTTAGAGCTTTCACGTTTTAATATAAAAGAGTGATGAGTTCCTTCTTGCTTTAATCCTTCTAAGTGCATTAGGAAAATCTTGTAATTACTTTTGTAATTGAGATTGGGCTTTGTGAGAGTTGTAATTGTGAGGCTTGAGTGAGTCTATCACAAAGTTTAAGTGATTCAGAGTCGAATCACAGAGAGTGCTACGGTTGAGGGACCGTAGTTGGGATACTTAAGTTCCTAGAGGAACTTAAGTGTAGGCTGAATATTCACAGTTGTAAATGAGTTTTTGCATAGTGAAATAATTCGAAAAGCCATCATGGGTGTTCTCTCCTTTTATACTTAGTTTAATTTCCGCATAAAGTTCATAAATTTTTATAAACTACAATTCCCCCCCCCCCCCCCACTTGTAGTAGACATCATTCTAACTCATATGATATAAAAGTTATTCCAAAGAAGGTTAGAAATTATTTTTTTTAACACGGTACTCTTGTAAATTAAGTATTACTTCATAATTAAAATTTATGTAACTTTGTAAAAATTAAAATAATACCCAAATAATTTAAAGAACACAAATAAACTTAAGGTATTTAAATAAATTAATCTCTTTACTTTCTCTATTCCTTTCTTCAAAATTGTGTGACAAGAGGACATGTCAAGATAAAAAAAATAAGAGCATATTTTCTCTCTTTTCTCTCTTCTCTCCCCTCCTTCTTTAGGGTTTTAATTTTCTTGGTTGTTTAGGACGAAAATATTCCAATTTCTTCGGAAATTAAACTATTTTCGACCCTTTTTCTTTGATTTAATTCGCTTATTTGTTATTTGATTTGTTTTGCTTTGTTTTGTTCTCTTCATTTGTGAGAGTCTGTTCCAATTGTTTTGGGTTTTTCCCAATTTTCTGGAATTTTGATTCTTATCTATGGGTGAGAATTTTATTTTTAGGGTTTTAATAATAATTGAGAAGGTGATTTGGATTCATATGAGTTTAGGGTTCGTCGTCAATTCTACGATCAAAATATCAACGCAGATTGCGAAAATCTCTACATGGAAAGATGCAAAGACATCGAAAATCACTGCTCGAGTCAAGTTTGAAGCGGTGGAGTGTGAGCTATGCCCGATATACAAAAATAGTTATGATTTTGACTGTAAAAGTTATGTTATTTTCTCTAGATCTGTGGTTTACATATCTTTATTATTATTGTAGATGTCGTATTGTTTTTTATTAATGAGATAATATTTCTTTCTGTCAAAAAAATAAATAAATAAAAAATATAAAATATAAAAATAAAAATAAATTAAACAGAGTAATACATACTTGTATAAAGTATTCAATCCGTTTATGGTGTTAATAGGTCAGTAATTGGTCTTCAAAAAAAAAAAAAAAAAAAAAAAAAAAGGCCAGTAATTGATAACGCATTAATCAAAGTATAATAGACAATGTAAAGTAGAGGTAGCATATGTTGAATATCAGACTAGTGTACATTTTGCAGAACAGAAGTTTATCATTACACATTTACACCCATAATTCCATTTTCCAAACGCACACATTACTGTATTATGAACATACAAAGAAAAAAGCTGATTTTTTTTCAGCTATCTACATATACATAATACAACACCGTTTGCAGGCTTTGAGCTAGGTCACAACACCGAAAATAAGTCAAAAGAATTACAATGTCACTATACTTCATTAGATTCACACCACAGGTTTACTACATGAATACATCTAACAGTTTTTTGGCCTAGGCTGCTGAGATCAAATGTTGCACTTGTTTCGAGCAGAAACTAACAAACCAAAGACACCACAACCGGAATTCATCTGCTGCTATAATTTATTAATTATAATGTCTGCCAGTGATTATAGTGATGCCTATTTGTGGCACAGCTGTACACAATACAACTAAAACGATCACACCGGTTGATGAGTATAAGGTCTGAAATGTTAAACACCAACGTCCATAATGTATGCTTTGACAGTCAGCAACGTCAGCTACAACCTGCATTATTGAGATTAAGACATAAATATATTAACAATATTAATATTTGCATATAGATTAAGCATCTATCTCTATGTAGAAAACCACAGAATTTTGACTGATCGAAAGTTTATGCTGCTTCTATGCTCAGACAATTTCTTTGCCTGCCCTCTTTACTTTGGCTGGTCGTTAGCCAAGTGCTTGGCTGGTCAGGCCAGCTGTAAATTACAAGAATGCATAATTGCGTATCCCAGGATGACAAAACCATGAAAATTCCATGTTTCAAACAAGCTTTGATGTTGAGTTTCAGAAATTGATGAGATGGGACAAGGATATACTGCTTGTTTGAGCAAAGCAAGATAACCTGCACTAGTTACAAATTAACAAAATCCAACTTCACCCACTAAAAATGTCAAAATTAGGCAAACATGCAGACAATATTAGCTAGGTGCCTAGGTGACAAAAAACTATATAATGCGAGGCTTAAACTTTCACCTGTGTCCTAGGAAGAGACAGGAAGATGTATACTTAGGTCATCCATATTTGTGCAGCCTTCGATCCTCAACCCGTGCTCATTGGCCAGATGCAGAAGGCAGATAAAACATAGATGAGGGGATATGTCACGGGCTGCTGCTGCACCACAATCATCAGGGAAGGTGGCTAATACTTGGTTGAAAGATATGGCCTCTTCATGATCATTCTGACAATGTAGCACAGAACAGACATCAAAATTTTTAATTCAAAGCAAATTCAAAACAGATCAACATACCTGCCATCAAATTAAGAGCTGCAAGGCAAATTATGTTTAAACACTCCACCAGAGTTCCCCCCACCCCCCCCCCCCCCACACACACACAGTTCTCTTCTGTGACCTAACCTTGCCAATTCATACACCGGATCTCTTCTAATTCAGATACATGACCACATATCAAGAATGTCCAAGAAAGTAAACGAACATTTTGGATACTTAGTTTTGCATTTAAAAAAACAAACACGTTGTACATCAGCTTTCAGCTAAGATACAACTCATACAAGAGCCCAGACACCACTCTGTCAATTTGACCCA